TTTTGATATATAATATGCAATATCATCTTTCTCTGCATTAATATTAACTAGAATTAGTTCAATAATAATTGTATTTGAAGTCAATGAAATTCGGGTTCATTCGGTACGCTATTGCATTCTTACTACTTAAAGCCAATATATATATATATATATATATATAGTAGCATTTGTGAAACATAATTGTAAAGAATTCCAGTCTTTGTTTAATAAATATGCGTTTTCCTTATATATAGGTGGAGGAGAACCCGAAGCTTTGCCAGGTATGATCTCTGTTATTATGTTAAAATAATCATTGACATTTTATTGACAACAAAATGCTACCTTGGCGCACATCGCCTTAAGGGTGCCAACTAAATTTTAATTACACTGATGAAATCCTTTCATTGTTTTGATTTTTTCAAAAGTCGTACATAATTATATAGACTTTTTAATCTATAGATCACCAAATTATAATGATATTTAACCCTAATGATTCTCGCAATTGGCAACGGAACGTGCATCAACAGTAACCAAACTTCCTGTATCTTTCTTCTAATGACACTTTGTTATTGAGTAAATACTATTATATTGCACGTTAGTTTTATATTTGTATATAGTGCATTTCTTGTCATGTGAAATACTAATACTGTTTATCATTTGGTAGCTTTTGCTGCTACAACACCATCTCTCCCAGACGAAGATGAGGACTTGATGGACTTTGAGCCAGCAGTTGAAGTAGAAGGTGCGCCTGAGTGTTATGACGAGATGCCAGCGGAAAACAGATGTGGAATCAAACCAAAAGGCTTATCAATTCGACTGGAATGCGAAAAAGGACAGTACGTTTATATTCAAAGCGCAAGTTATGGACGATCACAAGGTGATGTAGGATGCGATGTGCTTACCCCACTAGAGGCAGATGAGTGTACTTCCGAGACAACTTTGCAAGCAGTTAAAGACAAGTGTGAAGGAAGAAGATCTTGCGTCGTTCCATTTCGTCCCAACTTTTATGGTGGAAATCCTTGTGGTAGGAGGGTTGAGACGTTTCTCAATGTGAAATATGTCTGTGTAAAATCATGTAAGTTATTAATGTCGAACAATAATTATAGTTTTATTGTCATATTGGGTTACTTGCACATGAAAGAAACACGCAAGTCCACCGTAGCTTTAAAATATTACAATATACAATTTTCATGCGGGAAATAAACACTGCAACACATTTTTTAAATTATTCATTATTATCTTGATTGCCAATAACACCAACGGCTTATTATATTTGTATTGAAATATGTTTCATTGAATTTTCTACATCAGGCAAATTATGTATTACATTTCAACCTATCAATATTTTGATATATAATATGCAATATTCATCTTTCTCTGCATTTAATATTAACTAGAATTAGTTCAATAATAATTGTATTTGAAGTCAATGAAATTCGGTTCATTCGGTACGCTATTGCATTCTTACTACTTAAAGCCAATATATATATATATATATATATATATATAGTAGCATTTGTGAAACATAATTGTAAAGAATTCCAGTCTTTGTTTAATAAATATGCGTTTTCCTTATATATAGGTGGAGGAGAACCCGAAGCTTTGCCAGGTATGATCTCTGTTATTATGTTAAAATAATCATTGACATTTTATTGACAACAAAATGCTACCTTGGCGCACATCGCCTTAAGGGTGCCAACTAAATTTGAATTACACTGATGAAATCCTTTCATTGTTTTGATTTTTTCAAAAGTCGTACATAATTATATAGACTTTTTAATCTATAGATCACCAAATTATAATGATATTTAACCCTAATGATTCTCGCAATTGGCAACGGAACGTGCATCAACAGTAACCAAACTTCCTGTATCTTTCTTCTAATAACACTTTGTTATTGAGTAAATACTATTATATTGCACGTTAGTTTTATATTTGTATATAGTGCATTTCTTGTCATGTGAAATACTAATGCTGTTTATCATTTGGTAGCTTTTGCTGCTACAACACCATCTCTCCCAGACGAAGATGAGGACTTGATGGACTTTGAGCCAGCAGTTGAAGTAGAAGGTGCGCCTGAGTGTTATGACGAGATGCCAGCGGAAAACAGATGTGGAATCAAACCAAAAGGCTTATCAATTCGACTGGAATGCGAAAAAGGACAGTACGTTTATATTCAAAGCGCAAGTTATGGACGATCACAAGGTGATGTAGGATGCGATGTGCTTACCCCACTAGAGGCAGATGAGTGTACTTCCGAAACAACTTTGCAAGCAGTTAAAGACAAGTGTGAAGGAAGAAGATCTTGCGTCGTTCCATTTCGTCCCAACTTTCATGGTGGAAATCCTTGTGGTAGGAGGGTTGAGACGTTTCTCAATGTGAAATATGTCTGTGCAAAATCATGTAAGTTATTATTGTCAAACAACAATTATAGTTTTATTGTCATATTGGGTTACTTGCACATGAAAGGAACACGCAAGTCCACCGTAGCTTTAAAATATTACAATATATAATTTTCATGCGGGAAATAAACACTGCAACACATTTTTTAAATTATTCATTATTCTCTTGATTGCCAATAACACCAACGGCGTATTATATTTGTATTCAAATATGTTTCATTGAGTTTTCTACATCAGACAAATTATGTATTACATTTCAACCTATCAATATTTTGATATATAATATGCAATATTCATCTTCCTCTGCATTTAATATTAACTAGAATTAGTTCAATAATAATTGTATTTGAAGTCAATGAAATTCGGTTCTTTCGGTACGCTATTGCATTCTTACTACTTAAAGCCCATATATATATATATATAGTAGCATTTGTGAAACATAATTGTAAAGAATTCCAGTCTTTGTTTAATAAATATGCGTTTGCCTTATATATAGGTGGAGGAGAACCCGAAGCTTTGCCAGGTATGATCTCTGTTATTATGTTAAAGTAATCATTGACATTGTAATGATAACAAAATGCTACCTTGGCGCACATCGCCTTAAGGGGGCCAACTAAATTTGAATTACACTGATGAAATCCTTTCATTGTTTTAATTGTTTCAAAAGTCGTACATAATTATATAGACTTTTTAATCTATAAATCACCAAATTATAATGATATTTAACCCTAATGATTCTCGCAATTGGCAAGGGAACGTGCATCAACAGTAACCAAACTTCCTGTATCTTTCTACTAATGACACTTTGTTATTGAGTAAATACTATTATATTGCACGTTAGTTTTATATTTGTATATAGTGCATTCTTGTCATGTGAAATACTAATGCTTTTCATCATTTGGTAGCTTTTGCTGCTACAACACCATCTCTCCAAGACGAAGATGAGGACTTGATGAACTTTGAGCCAGCAGTTGAAGTAGAAGGTGCGCCTGAGTGTTATGACGAGATGCCAGCGGAAAACAGATGTGGAATCAAACCAAAAGGCTTATCAATTCGACTGGAATGCGAAAAAGGACAGTACGTTTATATTCAAAGCGCAAGTTATGGACGATCAAAAGGTGATGTAGGATGCGATGTGCTTACCCCACTAGAGGCAGATGAGTGTACTTCCGTTACAACTTTGCAAGCAGTTAAAGACAAGTGTGAAGGAAGAAGATTTTGCGTCGTTCCATTTCGTCCCAACTTTCATGGTGGAAATCCTTGTGGTAGGAGGGTTGAGACTTTTCTCAATGTGAAATATGTCTGTGTAAAATCATGTAAGTTATTATTTTCGAACAATAATTATAGTTTTATTGTCATATTGGGTTACTTGCACATGAAAGGAACACGCAAGTCCACCGTAGCTTTAAAATATTATAATATATAATTTTCATGCGGGAAATAGACACTGCAACACATTTTTTAAATTATTCATTATTATTTTGGTTGCCAATAACACCAACGGCGTATTATATATGTATTGAAATATGTTTCATTGAATTTTCTACATCAGGCAAATTATGTATTACATTTCAACCTATCAATATTTTGATATATAATATGCAATATTCATCTTTCTCTGATTTAATATTAACTAGAATTAGTTCAATAATAATTGCATTTGAAGTCAATGAAATTCGGTTCATTCGGTACGCTATTGCATTCTTACTACTTAAAGCCAATATATATATATATATAGTAGCATTTATGAAACATAATTGTAAAGAATTCCAGTCGTTGTTTAATAAATATGCGTTTTCCTTATATATAGGTGGAGGAGAACCCGAAGTTTTGCCAGGTATGATCTCTGTTATTATGTTAAAGTAATAATGACAACAAAATGCTACCTTGGCGCACATCGCCTTAAGGGGGCCAACTAAATTTGAATTACACTGATGAAATCCTTTCATTGTTTTAATTGTTTCAAAAGTCGTACATAATTATATAGACTTTTTAATCTATAGATCACCAAATTATAATGATATTTAAACCTAATGATTCTCGCAATTGGCAACGGAACGTGCATCAACAGTAACCAAACTTCCTGTATCTTTCTACTAATGACACTTTGTTATTGAGTAAATACTATTATATTGCACGTTAGTTTTATATTTGTATATAGTGCATTCTTGTCATGTGAAATACTAATGCTTTTCATCATTTGGTAGCTTTTGCTGCTACAACACCATCTCTCCAAGACGAAGATGAGGACTTGATGAACTTTGAGCCAGCAGTTGAAGTAGAAGGTGCGCCTGAGTGTTATGACGAGATGCCAGCGGAAAACAGATGTGGAATCAAACCAAAAGGCTTATCAATTCGACTGGAATGCGAAAAAGGACAGTACGTTTATATTCAAAGCGCAAGTTATGGACGATCACAAGGTGATGTAGGATGCGATGTGCTTACCCCACTAGAGGCAGATGAGTGTACTTCCGAAACAACTTTGCAAGCAGTTAAAGACAAGTGTGAAGGAAGAAGATCTTGCGTCGTTCCATTTCGTCCCAACTTTCATGGTGGAAATCTTGTGGTAGGAGGGTTGAGACGTTTCTCAATGTGAAATATGTCTGTGCAAAATCATGTAAGTTATTATTGTCAAGCAACAACTATAGTTTTATTGTCATATTGGGTTACTTGCACATGAAAGGAACACGCAAGTCCACCGTAGCTTTAAAATATTACAATATATCATTTTCATGCGGGAAATAAACACTGCAACACATTTTTTAAATTATTCATTATTATCTTGATTGCCAATAACACCAACGGCGTATTATATTTGTATTGAAATATGTTTCATTGAATTTTCTACATCAGGCAAATTATGTATTACATTTCAACCTATCAATATTTTGATATATAATATGCAATATTCATCTTTCTCTGCAATTAATATTAACTAGAATTAGTTCAATAATAATTGTATTTGAAGTCAATGAAATTCGGTTCATTCGGTACGCTATTGCATTCTTACTACTTAAAGCCAATATATATATATATAGTAGCATTTGTGAAACATAATTGTAAAGAATTCCAGTCTTTGTTTAATAAATATGCGTTTGCCTTATATATAGGTGGAGGAGAACCCGAAGCTTTGCCAGGTATGATCTCTGTTATTATGTTAAAGTAATCATTGACATTATAATGACAACAAAATGCTACCTTGGCGCACATCGCCTTAAGGGGGCCAACTAAATTTGAATTACACTGATGAAATCCTTTCATTGTTTTAATTGTTTCAAAAGTCGTACATAATTATATAGACTTTTTAATCTATAGATCACCAATTTATAATGATATTTAACCCTAATGATTCTCGCAATTGGCAAGGGAACGCGCATCAACAGTAACCAAACTTCCTGTATCTTTCTACTAATGACACTTTGTTATTGAGTAAATACTATTATATTGCACGTTAGTTTTATATTTGTATATAGTGCATTTCTTGTCATGTGAAATACTAATGCTTTTTATCATTTGGTAGCTTTTGCTGCTACAACACCATCTCTCCAAGACGAAGATGGGGACTTGATGGACTTTGAGCCAGCAGTTGAAGTAGTAGGTGCGCCTGAGTGTTATGACGAGATGCCAGCGGAAAACAGATGTGGAATCAAACCAAAAGGCTTATCAATTCGACTGGAATGCGAAAAAGGACAGTACGTTTATATTCAAAGCGCAAGTTATGGACGATCACAAGGTGATGTAGGATGCGATGTGCTTACCCCACTAGAGGCAGATGAGTGTACTTCCGAGACAACTTTGCAAGCAGTTAAAGACAAGTGTGAAGGAAGAAGATCTTGCGTCGTTCCATTTCGTCCCAACTTTCATGGTGGAAATCCTTGTGGTAGGAGGGTTGAGACGTTTCTCAATGTGAAATATGTCTGTGTAAAATCATGTAAGTTATTAATGTCGAACAATAATTATAGTTTTATTGTCATATTGGGTTACTTGCACATGAAAGAAACACGCAAGTCCACCGTAGCTTTAAAATATTACAATATAAAATTTTCATGCGGGAAATAAACACTGCAACACATTTTTTAAATTATTCATTATTATCTTGATTGCCAATAACACCAACGGCGTATTATATTTGTATTGAAATATGTTTCATTGAATTTTCTACATCAGGCAAATTATGTATTACATTTCAACCTATCAATATTTTGATATATAATATGCAATATTCATCTTTCTCTGCATTTAATATTAACTAGAATTAGTTCAATAATAATTGTATTTGAAGTCAATGAAATTCGGTTCATTCGGTACGCTATTGCATTCTTACTACTTAAAGCCAATATATATATATATATATATAGTAGCATTTGTGAAACATAATTGTAAAGAATTCCAGTCTTTGTTTAATAAATATGCGTTTTCCTTGTATATAGGTGGAGGAGAACCCGAAGCTTTGCCAGGTATGATCTCTGTTATTATGTTAAAATAATCATTGACATTTTATTGACAAC